ATCACAACATGAGGAACTGTATGAAAGGGTCGCGGCATTAGGAAGGTTGAGAACCACTGCTTACGCGCTGAGTGTGTCATGAGAACCATGCAGGCATGATGCAGAAACGGAGTGTGGGAATGGTGGCACAACTTGAAGAATGGCACCCGTGACACTGATACACGTGTACAAACTGCTGAACTGGAGTTGGTTTCACGGTGCCGGTTTTCAACAGCAAAATTAATTTTTTGTTGTTAAAAAATAGCCACTCTTTTACAAAGCCTTCATGTGAAAAGGGTGTGAGATTCTGATCTCACACCCCTTTAATTGATCACACTTTTATCCTGGAATCTTGCGCGAATGCAATATATCTAAGTATAGAGAGATAGATATAATTATGCTATGCCATCTCTCGCCTAGGAGTGAAAAGAAAACCAACTGTGCCACTGTATGGGGGAGATAAGTCCTTCCTTATCCATCAAGTTCTGTGCTTCTTTAGGGTTGTCTTGAATAATATCGGTGTACAATTGGTAGAGCATCTTGTTGGGAGAGGGGCTCTGAGTGAAGAGTCAACCGCGGTGCACGTGGGCATACAGAAGATGAAGGCACACAAGTGAGGTTGGCAGTAGTGGATGCCAAGATTAGTCCAGCTCTTATCAAAGGGGCCTCCCCTCAACTCCATGCCAGGGAGTTGGTTCCAACTCAGAGCAACCCTGTAGGGCAGGCAGAACTGCTCCCTGTGAATGTCTCAGACCGTAACTCTCTACGGGAGTAGAAAACCCTGCCTTTCTCCCTGGGAGGAGCTGGTGGTTTCCAACTGCTGACCTGTGGGTGAGAAGCCCAAGGTGTAACCACTGTGTCACCAGGGCTCCTCTGTCAATAGGAACAGATAGTGGTAAATGTTGTCCTTTTTGGAAGACCACCACAAGACAGGTCTGATTCTGACCAACCTGTTCTCCCCACACAATTAAGAAGTTGAGCATGAGCAATGGCAGTAGCCCTTATCCCAAAAGAGTCCTCCTGAAAAACTCTGACACGGTATATGTTGTACGCACGGAGGGCAATGAACGAAGCTGTGTGGGAACAAACACTGCACCTCAGCCTCGAGACGACTGTGCGCTCACAGCCATACACTCACCGCTGTGTGGGGCAACTTTCGATGAATTCTTCAACTGGACATTTTGTTTCATTTTTGTGGGCTTTTCCGAATGCGCTGCATCTTCCTTTTTCCCTTTCCTCTTTGGGGGCTGAGGAGACGTGTTGTCAGTATAGCCAATTGTTGACTTGGATTGGCGTTCGTTTCCCTAAAGGAAAAAAGATTCGCTCTTTATAGTTGGCTGAGGAAATTCCAAGTAAGCACACGTCATCATTAGCATAAAGTGGGTGGGGGTGTGTGTGGACGAATGTGCACTGATCCTGCTATTTTCTGTTTTAATACATTAACATCCAGCTTGTCTCCCAGGGGCCGAAGAAAGGTCTACAGAGAAAGCGGAGTAAAAATAATAGCTAACAAGTTCTGAATGTCTAATATGTTCCATAAAATTACTCTCCCTCACCCTCACAATAATCTTGTGGAGCAAGTAGAATTATCATCCCATTACACA